TACAATATTTTAAAATGAAGACCTGTGTTACCTGTCAAGACCACCTTAGAACCCACAGGTATTGTCTTTTGTCTAGCAGGCGGTTGTTTGTGCCTATGAAAGATCTCATAAATTTGATATTCCAGATGAGAGGTTGGGATTTGGTGGTTTTTTTCTTAGCCTTTTTCCTGGACAAGCTATGTTGCACTGCAGGAAAGGACAGTGAATGTCAGACACCACCAAGGAGCAGGCAGAACTCAACTATAAAACCAAAATTTGCAGGTCCCGGAGGATGTTGTAGCCTGTTAAGTGTTACCAGTTTGCATGCTTCAGAGCAGCTTTGTGTTAGCTGACTGGACTGCCTATGCTGGAGGAGCCCACCATGTAATAAGAAATTGAAGAATGGAGAAAGTTCTTCTCTAGACTGCTAGGATGGCGGGGGATTGGTTCCTCCTTCTTAGACACCTAACTTCAGATCAGAGAAGGTTATGCTGTGATGTTACATGCTGACTATCTGAAATCTCATCTGTTTTTCTTAAATGTGGTTTATGGTAATTTTTCCCTAAATGGAAAAAATATCTGCACTAGAAAACAGTAAGAACTCTGACTTGGAGAAGAAGGAGGGGAGGATAGATGACTTACTAAGAGTAAGTATTTAAAGTGGGACAACTGTTCAAACAGCTGCTATTTAAAGATACCTGGAATGCATGTGCCAGCTAGGCTGCAGAGCAGGATTTCATATACCATTTGTAGAATCAACACTGGCAAGGTAAAACAAATCCAGTCATCTCTTACTTGCAAGATAATTGTTTGGCTTGTAGATACTCTGTTTGAACCTGCTTGAATCCACAAGCAGTGTAGCAGTGACTGTGGCTATGCAGTGCAGAGTTGTTGTAGCTCAGGTGTTTGTGTCCTCAGCAGTGGTGTTGGCCTTTCTTTGTTCTGTTGCACATTTGTGTGTTTTGCTAGCTAACTTACCATGTTTCTCTGCAGAATTATTCCCCTCTTCTAAGTACTGAGGAGCTGACTCTGCTTTCGTTCAGCAGCATGTTCAGTAGCCTCTCGTAGACTAGGAAGTTGTATTCTGAAATGCTCATTTGTGAGAGTCAGTGACATGTATAGAGATGAGGAGAATATCTTTTGATCAAACCAAAAGAAAAAAGCTTCTCTTAACCTGTTAGTATTCTTCAGTAAAAGATAAATACCTTTAAATCAAGGATCTTGTCTTAATGAGGGAGCTCTAATTGATTTAGCTTTCATCAGCTGGAGGGGCATCTCTTGTGAAGTGTTGAAAAGGATCAGCAAACACACTAAAGGGAGAAGAGGGAAGGCTTTTGGTGTTTGTGTCGGGTCTCAGCACCTAAAAGAGCTAAGACAAGCTCATAGAGACATACACGAAGGCACATGTGGGTTTGTGGAAGATCATCGATGAAGCAGGAAATAGATTATTCTTTTTTTTACCATCTGTGCTTTAATCGGAAGCCAGACTATTGGTTGGAAGCGGGATGGTTAAATTTAACTTTTTATCAATTAAAATGGTTGCACATAAAATCCCGCTGTACACTGTGGTTGTGTTAAAAACATCAGCTGTTGCTGGGAGCCATCTATATAGTGGGGCTGATGGATAGTAACTTGAATGAGAATTTAATTGAAAGTGCAAAGGGAGTTACCCCATCCTTTTCCTCTACCATTATTGTGGCTAAAGGGGGAGGATAGTCCAGGGATGACTAAGCTATTTTGAGACTTGGTAGTTGTGGCAAGGTCTTAAGTGTTTTTTAAAAAAAAAAAAAAATTCCTTGTGCTTGTGTTTATTGTCTTGTACGTGACCCAAGATCATAGTAATTCCCTGTTCTAGAGGGACATTAAGAACTGAGTGGGTTAAAAACTGAAGAGCTTTGCTTGGATGTTTTGATAAAGAGGAACCTAGTCTTTTTTTCTTACCCTGCTGATTTGCTTTCTTTAATCTGATGCCTAGAGCTAGCTGGAGAAACTTCTTCCTAGGTGATGCTTAGTTTGGCTCCGAGTGATTTAAAGTCAAAGGCTTTTCTTCTCTTTTCACTTTTAGGCCAACTGCGATTTGAGACGGCAGATAGATGAACAGCAAAAGATGCTGGAGAAGTACAAGGAGCGGTTGAATAGATGTGTAACGATGAGCAAGAAGCTTCTTATAGAAAAGGTGAGCAGGGGACTTTCCACATCTCTGCAGTCACAGTTCACGTCTTTGAAAACTTCACTATCTTCTTTTGAGCAGTGAAAGCCTGCTGCTATTGCTATAGTGGTAAAAGACAACTGGATTTCTGTCTTGAATTATTTCTCTGCAAATAGGAGTGTAATGCTAAGACTGAAATGGTTCAGAATGTTTTGGTTTGGTTACTTTTCACAATCTCAAAGACTGATCTCCCTTGCTTAAGTGAAATAGTCTGAGCTCTAAATGCAGCAGGCATTCCTTGATTTGGAAACTCATCCACCTGAAAAGCAACATTGCCGAGCGCTGGCAATACAAGAGCAGTATCCCATTGTGCAGTGAAATTGCCAGATATGCTCTGTGACACGGGCAAGTGATTTAGACCTTTCCTTCTTTCAGATGGCAAAGTTGGAGATCATTGCTTTGTATAATACTCTAGCCAGGCTGCTGTTTACTAGCGTCCAGCCTCCTTCAGTGTTGAAAGATTTCCAGATTTCCTGATCATTAAACAATGTGGGGGTTTGATTGCTCTTTCACCTGTTGACCAATTACATCTATTGTTTGTGGGCACTGGATGGGCAAAACCACCAGGGTGCTGGCCAGTACATGCAGTCTGTTTGAGCTGATTTTGTCACGAAGCTGATTGTTCTTGGCTGAATGAGACTCCCCTTTCTGGGAGGATTTGTAACTCTGGGCTAGGTGTTACAGAGACCTGACATTCAGATAAGTGGTGTGTAGCTCCAGTGAGGAGCTTTTCTGGTTCACCCTTAACCCTAACTGACTGAAGCTTTGCTGCTCCCATCTCAGGCCTTGGAATTTTCCTCTCACTTAGTGGAAACATTCTGTGACAGACACCACCACTAGTTTTTATGCATATTGGTGACCTAATTGAGATTGTGTCACTTCTGGGAGTGGTGCAAGGCTAGGACTGAGCTGGCTGATCACTGTAGCTTAGTCTTAATGGTGATTCAAGGTGCGTTTCCTTCCTTCATCTCCTCTTTGAGTGAATAAGGGCCTGATCACAGCCATGTCTGGAGTCTAGGTAAGCTACTGATACAAAGGGATAGTTTTAATCCTACCGCTAGACTGATTTCAGCTGATGATAAGAATGGGTGTGAGCTGCCCAAGCAGTAATGGGGAAGGAAAGATGAGGCTGAAATGTCAGAAAGGAGGCAGTCAAACAAATGCCCCTCAGACCAGTATGAGGCACCAGCAGTAATTTGATCAGTGATTTTCATCTGGGTTTCAGATAAGGAGTACTGAAACAATGAGAAGTGGTAAGAATTGGTAGTGATTTAAAACACAGCACAGCTCTTGGCCGATAATTTATGGCTTATATTTTAACATGTGTTTTGTTTTGTTTTCAGTCAAAACAGGAGAAGATGGCCTGCAGAGATAAGAGCATGCAGGATCGATTGAGGCTAGGTCACTTCACTACGGTGCGGCATGGGGCGTCTTTCACTGAGCAGTGGACAGATGGCTATGCCTTCCAGAACCTCATCAAGTGAGGACAGAGTTGTCTTTAACTTCAGAGGCAGAGACAGAAAAACTAAGCAGTTGTGTGTGATGTCTTGCATGTCAAAATGTGAGAATGATGTGACTGATGCATGAAAGGATCAGATAGGAACGCAGCTGCTGACAATGGGGAACGTTTTCACATTGAAGTGAGAAATATGTTTCCACTTAAAGCTCCACAGACTTGAAACCGGAATCAAATTGTTTGAGTTGGCCTCTGGGTTGGAAAGCAGTAGGCTTCGTTGTTGGGTACTCTCAGTGCACCTACCTGGCTGTGCAGTGCTTAGGGTGGAGGGGTGGACCAAATTCTCACATGTATATTGAGTCAATCAATTTGATTTGCATACTTGCATATGTCAGTCAAGACAGGCTAATTAGCTCCTTTTTTTAAGTTGAAAGTAGAGAATCTTTAAAAGAAAAAATCCATACTGTTTAACTTTTTTTTGCCTCCTGGTAACAGTGATCAAAGGGGCTGGAGAAACCTGGAAATGAAGATGAGACCCTTTTATGCAGGATGTTGATGGAAATACCCAGTAAATTCCCACCTGACCTAGACCTTTAAGTAGGACTTGGCAGATTAGTTGTGTTAGAGCGAGCTATGTGTGATCCTTTAAAATCATATCACTTCTCTCTAGGAAGTGCAACTCTTGTTAGGCACAGATTAAGGACTTTATATTTCCTCCTTAGTTTGTGCTGTAAGACAAGGAAGAAATACTTCTGGAGTATTTACCTGCATTCTCAGTCTCTTTTAAAAAATGAATTAAGGATGTAAATGCTCAAGTCATTTAGACTTGAAATTTCAAGACTGCCTTTATAACTGTAAAATGTTTCAAGATAGTCTTTTTATCTTGGAGGAGGGACTTTTTTAGTGAAATTGGGAATGGTGTTGGTTATATTTCAGAGAGCTAAGGATAGTTTAACTATACCCTTGAAGTATAAGGATACTTTCTCAGACAGTGCGAGACTTCAGGAGTAGTTTTAAAAAGAAAATCTGAGATTTAGAACAGAGCCTTCTAGGAAAAAGTATGTGGAAAGTTAGTGACTTACCATGGATCCCTGGGTTTTCCGTGAGGTTAGCAACTCCTTGTTTTTGGATATACTGTGCATGAATAAGCCCTTTCACTTACTGAAAGATTTCTGTGGGCCACGAAAAGAATCCCCTTTTATGTAAGAATACCTTTAAAAAAATCTGAGTCATAATGTTTGGCACATCCCGCTTTTCTGTACAAAAATATTTTGTTACTAATCTTACAAGTACAACTGATTTGAAATTCATTGCTCCAGTTTGTTAAGAGCAGATGCTGAAGACAACTGAGTACATACCATTAGTTATCTGCTTCATGTCTTTTCTACTCTCTTCTTTGCAGACAACAGGAAAGGATAAATTCCCAGCGGGAAGAAATAGAAAGACAACGAAAAATGTTAGCGAAACGGAAGCCACCTGCAATGGGACAGACCCCTCCAGCAAGCAATGAGCAGAAGCAGCGCAAGAACAAGACCAATGGAGCAGAAAATGAAACGTAGGTTACGCGGCCGCCTTGGTGCATTGCAAAGCTGCATGCTTTGATTAGAGCACAAAGTATCTACTGGGAAATGGAATCTTGCCCTTGCCTCTAGGCTTCAGTCCATGCACGAATGAATACTGTGGCATTAGCCTGGCATTCAGCAACATCTGGCTGCAGTTCTAAATAGTTTTCATTGGAGTAAAACAAGGATCATTGCTGAGTCCAGACTTTGTATGAGCTTAGCTGTTTTTGAATGCAGTAACTTTTTCGGTATTCCTGTTGTGTCAAGTTTTGAAAAGTGGTGTCCTTTTCTTAAGTGTTGTAACTTCAGAATTGATTTTGATACTGCTTTGTGACATGTGGTGCTTTTTTTTTAAGGAAAAAAGAAAAAAGTACACGTTTAGAAGCAAGAAAAAAGTACACGTTTAGAAGCCTTTACTTCCATGTACTCTCTGATAAGGCTTTTCAAACAATTAATTTGGTATACTGAAGAAAAAAGATGTTCTCTGTTAAAGGCAGTGCATTAAGCATTGACCTGTATCTCCAAAGCAGTCCTTTGCAGATACCCGAGTCAGGGAAATGGAAAGGTAGTTGAAGTGCTACTCTTTCTTCTTATAGAAGATTTCCCCCCACCTTTGGAAGTTATTGGTGCTCTAAGAGTCCTGATGTTCTTAGAGAGGAAAACTGTGTCTCACAAGAACAATAGTTTTTGGGAAGTTTTTTTGAGTTGATATTAAGTCAGAGACTTTCCCCTACCTTCTACCAGTTTCTTTTACAGTTTTCATTTTATTGGTGTTGGCTAATACCATAACTCTAAGTGACACTTTTCTTTTTGCACTATTAAATCTTCTGGGCACGACTTGACCTCAAAGTTCCTGGAGCCCTTTGAAGTCTTGGTCTTTAAAAGCGCGTGTGAAGTAAAAGCTCCCACTCCCTTTTGCAGTCACGGCAGAGATGGCACATGACTGGGTGAATCGTGATATACAGGGTGCTCTCAGCAACCAGGGCGGTGCCCCCAAATAGGATGGCAGTGCCCCCAAATAGGATGCTGGTGCCTGCAGATCAGGTGTATTGTACTGGAGGGCACTGTGTGCTTTCTGCAAATACGTAGCGTTAGTAGAGGCATTTACCCCTTGTTTTGGCCAAGTGATCTTAAAATCAATGAAATAAAGTTTTAAAGTTGTTCTTTTGTATTGCAACATTTGAGTTTAGAGAAGTAAATTGACGGTCTATGCATAGATATTTTGAAGCGTTGCTGTCCGCTGTGGTAAACTTTCATATCTAAGGGACAGGATGAGGCTTTCCACATTTCTGTAGGGATGTTTTTCGCCAGCAGACTGGTGCAGCTGTAGTGTGGCTTATTCTGCAGACATGGCAGTACAGGTCTTGATGTGGCTGGAAATTATGATAATGCCTGTGATACCTAGTGAGCCTCTGTCTATGTCATGAGCCCGCTTTGACATATTCTCCTAGCTTTACCCGAGTTTGCCATTAAGCTTTTTTGTGCTACCAGGTCTTCTTCTCTGTGTTTCTTGCTAGCTTATCATTCTTCACTGATAAAACATTGAAATTCAAAGTTTTATCTTTGTGGTTTAGAAGAGCTGCTTGTGGCGTTCTTGATAAAAACTGCTTGCCAGTGTACGGATGTGGATCATTTGGAGTGTTTTAGCTTATGAAAACATTGTTTTTGCAAGTCAGCTGAAGCAACTGTACTGACTGACTACTTGCTTAATCATTAGTTATCCTGTAAATGCATTTGTTGGACCAAGGTATAAAATTTTCTGATTTTTGGAGGGAGGTTTTTTTTCTTGTGGGATTCTTAAAGAGGCTGTCTTTCAGGCAAGTTGAATATAAAAGTTTCTGAAAGTTTAATGAGACGCGGACAGCCAAATTCCTTCATTTGCTTTTTTGGTTCCTCTTTGGTTCATGGTTGTTGCTGTGTCTTAAAAAGGAGGGGAAGGTGCCATGATGCAAATTTAAACACGTGCTCTCCTGAAACTAGTTTCTAGTCTGTGAATGAGAAAAAGGTTTTCACTCAGGAAGATTAATCTGCCGCGGTTTTTTGAGGTTTGTTAGGGCAGCTTGGGCAACCGTAGAGTCTTCGGTTGCACTAGAAGTAGTGTATTACAAGCATGTTGCTGTGAAACAGGGCAGTGTTTGTCTTAGAGCCCCCCTTGATTTTTGTTATGCTTGCTGCTAACAGGCAGCTATTTTGGGCAATGTTAGCCTGGTGGTACTCATTACATCTCTTGCTTAATGAGTAGACTCTTGGTGTTTAGCCGTGTATTTCATTTGTGCACAAGAATATGGTTGCTGGTTTATTCAATTGTCTTTTTATTCCTTATACAGCAACACCAATCAGAGACCTAAACTTTTGAGACTGTCTTTTAGATTAGCTGAATGTGATTAAAATTCAGGCTGTTGGGGGAGGAGATGGGGGATGTGAATTAGCATGCTTTTATATAAAATGAGGCAACATGTAAACGTTTATGGTACCGGGTATGTTTTGTGTGTGTCTTTAATTTTCAATAAGCAGTTCCTTATGGTCAAGATTCTTTCAAAGGAAACTTGGCTTGTGAGTTTTGCATTAAATATATCAGCTAACAACTGCTTTAGCAGTTATTTCAACTATGCAGACCTTCTGCATTATCAACAGTGGAGCATTTAATCAGCTGAATACTACCTCCTCTCAATTTATTGCAGTGAGCCAAGGTCCCAGAGCCCTGCACAGACATGGGACTCAGTGCCCTCTTGAAACTGCTTGTGGTATTGATGCTGTGGAGTCCTCATACACTAAACTTTGTACTAAGTACTATGCAAAGCATAACTGCTGCAATAGGAATCCTCCTGGGATAAGCTTTGAACTCAATGTAGGTTCAAAAAAGATATTTATATGCTCTCAGTGTGTATCTTGTTTACTAAGTAAACAGATGCAGTTGATATGGGCTTCATAACTTTACATTCACATGTGTGATGCTTTCACCAAACTCTGGTAGTAGTAAGAAAATTAATGCAACGATTAATTTTTCTGGCCTTAAAGATCTCAGCACACCATTGCATTTCAGTAGTGATCTGATCTGTCATTATTTTAGTGTAAGGCTGTGCTTTGCCTCTGTCCTACATGGCACACTGGCTATAAAAGACAGCAAAAACATTATGAAACTTCTTTTGACCATCCACCATGGATGGAAACTTTGCACATCCCCATTGTATTTATGGTAAGTGATTATTCCCCTTATCCTGTTGCTTCTTCTAATTACACATGAGGCCAAAGATATGGTAAGGTGAAGTAAATTTGCCAGGGTTTCCCTGGAAGGTGCTTTGCAGAGCCTGAAAGAGGAAAAAGTTCTGAGTCTCAGGTCATTGCTCTGTTTGCAGTGGCTCTGTGGCCAGGTGTACTGCTAGTCCTGGAGTAAATAGCTGGGTTGAATTATCCAGCTTCTGTTACAAAGAAAAAATTGAAAACAAGTCATTAAAGCAAACTTTAAATGGAGAAATAAAATGTAGAGTACTTGTGCTTCAGTGTTCCATATTTAGATTATGGTTTAGCTTTCCATGTTAAAAGTCAGTCACTAGCCTAAATAGGTGTTATTAGGGACATGGATTTGAAATTAATCTGTGCTTTATCAAGGTTTGAGCTTTTGGTCTCCTTTAGATTGATTAAAAAAACAAAAGACTGTAGAGTTTACCTAAAAAATTTCCTGTTGGCTGTTGACATACTCTATAGTTGTCACTTCCACTGGCGATGGGTGTTCTGCAGACTGTTCACTTTGTCACATACACTGAAACTAATGCATCGGATCTGTCTCTTCTATGCAGGTTAACGTTAGCAGAGTACCATGAACAGGAAGAAATCTTCAAACTCCGACTAGGTCATCTTAAAAAGGTAAGAACTAACTGCAGAAAAGGCTTTCAGGTAGGTTTTTGATTCAGTGTTCTGTGAACAATAGCATTTCTCTGTAGAGGTCACTACTGTCTGTTTGATAATTGAGAGGGTTTTGTTGCTTGAAAGGGCTGGCAAGGATTTTGTAATACTTTTTTCCAAGGCAGTGGTATTCAGGAATGATGTTCTTTGCTTCAATAAAGAGATTTCTGTCTCCTTACAGTCATGATTTCATGCAGGGAGTTCCACTGTTTTGATGCATCCTATTCTGTCGCTATGACCTGCCTCGTGCTGGGGTCTGTACGTGTCTAATATGGGGGAACCTGAAGGAATGGACCAAGGAAACAAAATTATAAGAACACAATGAAAACTACAGCCATCATTGACTTTCCCATTTCTTTGCAATATCAAGTAACCAACATTATCAGTAACAGTCCAATAAAATCTCTTGGGCTTTTGGAAACTATTATTGTTTAGGTAGTTGTAATGCACATTTGGTTTCAAATACATTGGCTTCAGTAGGAGCTGTACCTGCAAGTGAGGCTATAATTAGATAAGCTGTTTGGTACCTTTAAAGTGATTGCAATAACCTGTAAATAAGTTTTCTGGGACACTTCAACAGATGAAATACTGAAAAAAAAAAATAGGTGTCTTCTGCCATTTCCTGGTTAGCTGTGATTTCTGCTAAGGCCAAAGAGTTTTCTTTCCCATATGAAATGAAGAGGAAGCATGCAAATGCATTGCTGGAGCCCCCCTTCTTTTCTTAGTTTGTGCCTGAGCTCTACGTGTAGTTTTTCCTGTAACCTTGACACACAAGTTAAATGCGAGGCCTCATTAATGCTACTGTACTCCTTGTTATTTTCAGTCGCAAGGGAAAGTTAATGCACACATGGAATCCACTGGCACTTTGCCCACTGTGTTTTATTGACCTGTGAGCAAAGATAAGTGATACAGGCAGGAGTATACTGAAGGCATGCTTGCTCCACAGCTTCCGCATTGCTAGAGTGGATTAATTGCAGGTCCATCTATGCTGGCATGTAGTGTGCCACCCTTGAACGGAGGAATCCATTTGGAAATGGACCTTAATGGAAAATGAAGTCATGTTCTGGGATCGTGGCATTGTCTGAAGCTGTGCTTATCCTTCTCCACTTTTGGAAACTGGCTCATTCTTTATACCTAAAAATAGAACAAGTTGAGAAGGGAAGGAACAGAGTCACAAGACAAATGGGTAACTATGTCCCTTGAGTCATATATACCAAATAATACTGCTCAAGGCACACGTTTTAATTGAGGTTTGCAACCCTGTCCAGAGTGATGTGAATTCTAGTGTCGTGTTTGAGGGCACTAGAACTTCCAGCCGTACCAACAGTATATCAAAACTGCCACATGGCACTGAGTTACACTCTGACCTGTTCTATTGCTTACTGCTAATAGGACCCAGTGTTGCTCTTTCACTTTCTCCGTCCTCTCTGGATGCTGCCCTGTCCCCATGTGGCATCGTGACATCCCTGTTCCTTACTTCTGAGGGCTCTCCTTTCTCCTGTCCCAGCAGAGGCTGAATTCCTACAAAAACAGCTGCAGAGCACTTAACCAGGGAAGGAACAGGACCAGAGCAACAATGCTTCTTAATTGCAGAAAACATTAAAAACAAGAAGGCATAAAATATGTCTGCTGCTGTCTATGTGTAGGTGTAAACAAAACTGCCCAGTCAGTTTTCACTTCTGTCACCTTCCACCTGACTCTTGACTATGACCATCTCTCTAATCTCCCAAACAAGTTATTTACCAATAACTTCTTCACAAGTGGAATTACATTCATGTTTCCATAAACCAGGTAGAAATCCTAACTGCACTATCTCACACAGTGTTGTGTTTTCGTTTTGTTTTTATCTTGTGCAGGAAGAAGCAGAGATCCAGGCAGAGTTGGAACGGCTAGAGAGGGTTAGAAATCTACATATCAGGGAATTGAAAAGGATACACAATGAAGATAATTCACAGTAAGCACGTGGGATTCAGGGACAAGAACATACAACAATTTTCTATCTGTCCCCTTCATAATGGGAAACATTTACCTTTTTTTAAATTGGTGTTACAACTTAATACGTCACTTGATTGTGGGGCAGCACAGTGATATAACTTGAAATTAATATATGACAAAGGCTTCCAAGTGCATCAAGGTACCATTATATAGTCTTTCATCTGTGCAAAGTGATCAAATAGTATCAAATCTGTCAGTCGTTAACACAGTTTTAATATTTTTCTGTCTTAATATAAAAATGTTGTTTCTAAGCTGTGTAGTAGCTGTAATTTATTGTGCAGTAGATTGCATTATTTCTGTCAGTGTTCTTAAACCTTGTCTTTCTCGCCAGATTTAAAGACCATCCAACGCTAAATGATAGATATTTGTTGCTACATCTTCTGGGTAGAGGTGGCTTCAGTGAAGTATATAAGGTAAATTTGAAGTGGCAATCTGGTGTAATCTGAATCTGCAATGAAATGTTGCAGTAAGCAGAATTTTTTACACTTGTTTTCTCAATGGTGTGTGTGGTTGTGGAGGGAAGAAGGGAGGACAAAGCACATGTTGCATCTGGCTTGCATTAGACAGCAGGCTTGAGATTTTTAGGTTCTGCCCTATCCTCAGAGGTCGGATTTCCTGCAAATGTCTGTTTCAAGAAAATGTTGTACCAAGTCTGCAGTTCTGTGAGGACAGAGAAGAAAAGCACTCGTTTCCTCAAGTGCTATGCACAAATACCTTAAGTAGTGCAGTTTTATTGAGTATGGCATAGTGAGTCGGAACGTCACTGTAAATAGGATAAAATAGCTCCCATAATAAAAGCAAAGCCTTCATTTCCTGGGGGTAGAAGGCTTTTTTCTTGTGTCTTCATTTTACGCTCTGAAGTAGCAGACTGGGTGTGTGTAGTCTTGGGATTTCCTTGGAATGGAAGATTACTTGTGTGTCAGCACTCTTGCATGGCCGAGACCTGTGATACTTTGGTGCTTGCTATTTGACTATTATGCTTAGAGCCTTTTCAGTTCTAAATATCCGCCATCCGTACCCAGTAGTTCTTAATTCATGTTGAATTTGGATAGAATGAAAATAATTATGCTGATGCAAATATTGGAAACTTCACAGTGATTTATTATTTTGATGCAGTACAATAATAGATATCTAACCAGCGGGGCTAGACTGCCCAGGTAGTGAAAAAAAGTGTGATCTGCATGGAAGTACTCTGAATTGCTCTCTGGAGGCTTTGCTGACTAAATAGAAAGCCTTGGCTCCACAGATGAAAGCAAGAGGGTATGAATGCTTCATACCTGACCACGCATAATAGCTGTAACTATGTTATTAAAACAAAGAAATGCTTAGTCCTCCTTCTCCCAGGTCTTGGCCAATCTATTACAGTTTAGGAGTTCAGTATACAGCTTTTGAGATGGACACAGTTTATCCTTGTCTGTTTACAATAAGATTTTCTGGGTCCTATAAATTATTAGCTGTTGCTGCTCTCAGACAAGGTAAAAGATTGCTGCATTTCTCCAAGAAATGGTAGTGGTTTTTTTTATTTCCAGTGGTCCGTTCTATAAGACTGCCTAAGTAGCAAAAAACTGGGGGAAAGAAACACAGCACAAGATTTACACAGTTCTGCCATTGAATTCTGCAGCTTCTAAATAAGCTGAAACATTTTGCTCCAAGATAGAGAGCTGAGCTACCAGTGTGAAACAAAGTATTAAAAATCCTCTGTGTGTTTTGTTTTTTTTTTTAACTGAGTGTAGAAAATTAGTTAGGTGGCTTGGGGGAATAATAGGCAGGGTCTTTCCCAATGTGATTAACTAGCTGTATTTTGGTAATTTGGCCTTTCTGATCCCATTGTAGCTCTCTTGGTAAAATGTCAGAATAAATGCAGCATTAGTTAGATCCCATAGGGGATGCCAGATCAAAGCACAGAATATTCAATTGTTTTCAGAGTTGCTTGGTTTCATTAGTGAAACTAATTACATCAAAATGTGAGTTTGCTCTTCACTCAGTATGTCGTAATGCTGATTTCCTGGGTGGGGATATTGGTTTGTTAGAGCTTGTCTGTTTTTGCAGTATTAACTTGAAGTTGTAATTCCTACTGATTTTCAGCTCTTCTCTCTGCAGGCATTTGATTTAACAGAACAGAGATACGTAGCTGTGAAAATACACCAGTTAAATAAAAACTGGAGAGATGAGAAGAAAGAAAACTATCACAAGTAAGTAAGGCTGTAAAGCAGACAGCCAGGTTTCCAAACTCCTCCTGTATTTGGTTATTCAGTGTCTGTGAACAGACTACCTTTTTTTTCCTGCACTTTGCTGCTTTTCAAAAGCCAATCACTGTCCCAGTAGCTATTTGCAAAAGTTAGGGTCAGATTAGAAATATCTTAATCGTGGTCACACACACACCCCCCCCCCCCCCCACCCCCCCCCCCGCCCAGTTTTGTATAAGCACAAGGTTTTAAAGCACAAGGAGTGCTCTACTGAAGAAAGCATTCAAGTGGCTTCTCCTCTGTGAAATGTCTTGTGGGAAACAATTGTTCATGCCCGTCTTCCAGGTACACACCTGCATTGTGCTCCCTGAAAGCCTTCCCCTTCCCTTTATTTCCTAGAATACTTAATGCTTTCACAGATGATGAGGACTATACCTATGTCATGGCCTGGAAAAAAGTTGCAGGAAGCCTTTTGGTGTTGGTAACACTTGCTCCCTAATGCTGTGCATTAGATGAGCTCTGCAGAATGGCAGCCAAGACTTCTTGACAGAACTTCAAAGATAAAACTGTGATGTTAATTCCCCAACAAATCACTGAGCTGGATATGAAGCCTGGAAGTTGGGCTGTTGAGCATCATGGAATTTTTCTAGAACTTGCTGATTTTTGTATTCAGCTATCTTGGATCCCTTAACGATTTATTATGAGGTTATTCTGTTTTGGCAAGCAGTACCATTAATCAAGATCAGTTGTTTTGTAGTATTGCCAGCATTTGAGATGCACTCAAATTCTGTGGTTCTCAAGAACCGTTCTGTGCAGTTCCTCATTTGCTTTCTTTTTCTTAAGCTGTCTGAATAATGTTGCATGGGTTTGAAGTTGGACTGCTGTGTGGTATGTCTGGGTTCACTATCTGCAGAACTTAGAATTAAGTCACTTGTATGACTAATGCTCAGACTTTCCTATTTTCAGACATGCGTGTAGAGAGTACAGAATTCACAAAGAACTGGATCATCCTCGAATAGTTAAGCTATATGACTACTTTTCACTGGATACTGACTCGTAAGTTATGTTGCTGCATCCTTTGACTTTGTTTTGGGTCACATTCACTACAGACAAAGTAGCTGGTCTCTTAAAACTTCCCAGGAGAGTCCAGAGAATGTCCACACCAATGTTACAGACTGTACTGCAGATATGTGAGGCAGTTTCAACACACATTGGTTTTCCAGAGACACTAGCTCACAAACCAGTATGCCGTATTATGTCAGATGTGGTGCTTTACTAGTAAACCTACTCTTTGTTGGCCTGGGCAAATGCCCCAGCTGATACAGCCTTCTGCTTCTGGATCTAGCACTTAATGGGGGATCTCTGACCTTTGTACTACTGAGCAATGAGGACTGTGGTCCTGGTAGTTTTATTTTTAGCAAGGGATTAATAAGCCGGAGGACTCTTTAATATGTTGACCAAATAGGTGAGTCTTACAGACAAGCAACAACAAAGTGTTCTGGTTTCTATCAGGTGCCTTAATTACAATAACTACTGTTTTTTCTTCAGGTTTTGTACAGTGTTAGAATACTGTGAGGGAAATGATCTGGACTTCTACCTGAAACAGCACAAGTTAATGTCGGAGAAAGAGGCGCGATCCATTATCATGCAGATTGTGAATGCTTTAAAATACTTAAATGAAATCAAACCTCCCATCATACACTATGACCTTAAACCAGGTATGCTGTGCTGCTAGCTGACATGCTTAAGGATGCTAACTAAAGGTAATAGGGTTATAAGCAACATGGGGACGTTTTACTTTAGTCAGACAGCAAAAAGGAGACAGGGCTGTCTAGGGAAACTAACTTGCAACAAGAGAAAAACTAAAATGCATAGAAGATGCTGTAAAAAGGATATTGTCTCCCAGAATTGCAATATAAAATAGGGAAGAAACGTTCCAGAAAAAGTAGCCTCCTTGTTCAGAATGAGCCCTTGAACCACCAAGTGTCTCTGTGTTTAGTTTCCAAATGTCCTGCTTGTATTCTGCTGTTGAGAGGTTCTGTTACTACTTCATGAAGGTTCCAAATATTACTATTGTGTTTCATGTTCCGACTCTTCTGGCTTATTCTTTCTGTAATCATCTGCCTGAAAATTTGGTGGCAGAAGCCAACTTGGAGGCGTTCAGTTTTTCATATCGTGTGGCAGCTCACAAAGCTGAGGACATACTGTCAAACTGTTTGCTCAGGTCTGCCTTTGAATTCAGTAGCACCTGCCATGTAGAAGGTCCTCTCCAAATGTTGCAGATTTCCCTTTATCATTGGGCAGAGTCATGAGGGGAAAAATGGGAGTGCTCTCTTTTGGGGTCATGCATATTGGCTACATAGCTTTTTTTTCCCCCAGTCGAGTAAAATTCAGCCATCTCTTTGAGCAGTTATCCCTGCCTTGTCTCCCAATACTGGTGGCACTTCATCAGCATTGTGTAACTGGTGTGTGATGTGGTTTATTGCATCAGCATGAGGAATCTGTACAGGAGGTGGTGCTGTTGCGCTAGTTCTAGTGACCTGGTTTCTTGCCCCAACTGCCGACACTGTTCTCGTGTTGTCTGAGCATGCTGCAGAGCTCTGCCTACAGTTGTCTAAAACTGTGATTCATCCACTGCCATCATGCGCGATTCTGCTGCTTTATTGTAGGCTTTGAGAAAAAGTGATGATCTGACTTCTTGATCCTTAATGGATTTGTAAAAGACTCTTGCCTAAGCAGTAATTGTCCTTTCTGAGCTTAAAAAGCCACTGGGGAGCACTGCCAGGAAGGAGAGAGTTTCTGGCTTGTTGAGAGGCCAGGGCAAGTCAGGACTTCTGGGCAGAATGAGTCATAACTGTGTGTGTGTACTTCTTAATCCTCCTTTTTGACCTGCCCTTCCAACAGGACCTTCGGGAGGGGTCAAAACAGCATAGGCATCAAGCTCATTTGGCTAATAGGGCTCAGAATCTGGAGGCTCCAAGTAGTGTCAGGCCACTGGGTGATTCAGGGGTGGGCAGATCAGTTCTAGCACTTGGTGAGAACTGAATTGTCTCTGGAGCTCAGGGTATTGAGTGTTGAAAAACAGCTACCCCAGGCTGCTGCTGCTCGCTGTGTAGGTTTTGTGTCCTCTTGTGCAGACTGCTAGAGTTCAGTGTAATTTTATTCTTGGTTTTTATCCTGCTAGATGTACATCCTAAGGGGCTGTTTCCTTCCTCTGTCTAGGTAACATTCTTCTAGTCAATGGTACTGCATGTGGAGAGATAAAAATCACAGATTTTGGGCTTTCCAAAATCATGGATGATGACAGCTACAACTCTGTTGATGGCATGGAACTGACATCGCAGGGGGCTGGCACTTACTGGTAAGCGTCGCCTGGGGCACTTGCAAGTTACAGATCAAGAACAGTTTATAAACAGCTTTGGATCCATGTCAGCTCTGTATGTGCTGCCATTGTCTGTGACAGCTTGAGACGCTGGAGGTTTGAGACCCTGGAAACTGCTCTTGTTGTCACACGGCTCCTTTTGAGGTTGGCAGCTCTTTACTTTTCAGTGAGTTATACATTTGAAAACCGTCTCTTATCCAAAGGCCCTGGTGAAAAACTGCATATGCTGCTGAGATAGCAAGCTCTGGAGTGGAGCTTGGCTGCTATTTCACAGTCCATAATGGCACTGTCTAACAGTTTAAGCAAGGAGGAGGAGAACACCATGCCTATTTGGAAATTGAGGTACATCAGGGAGATGAAAGGAGTATTCCACTGAAATGAGGTGGTGAAAATCCATAGTTAGCTGTTACAAAAGATGTAAATCTTGCAGCGCTTCCCTTTCAAGTGTCATGTGAAAGATGTTTTCAGCAATACTTTATCCTCAGTGCCAAGTGTTGTCGCTGCATCACCCGTGGCTGAGAGCAAGACCTACGGTGAGTGGCAGTGAACGCGATTCTTAGATACCACCCAAACTGCAGACTGTCACTATGGGCAACAGTTGTACAGGAACATTTGTTAAGGCGTTCTGTATTGTGCAGGTTTGTTCCATTCCTAAAAATGAAACTAGCTGTAGTTTAAGCAAGGCTGAGTGTCTCTAACTAGGATGTGGCATCTGGGGTTGTATTTCTAGAAATATGTATTTTGGCTGTGTTTTTCTATTGTGGGATTGTTGGCCAAGCCCTTCTAACAACAAATACCAGTTCTGAAGATAAAAAGAAAATGGGATTGTTTTATGTGCTGTGGTGAAAAGAAACTGACTGTGCTGACCAGCTCAGACCATGAGTGTCTGGAGAGTCCTTGGGATCACTGGTACCAGAACGGGTATGCATTGGTGATCTTGGCCCAAAGATCCACAGGAATGAAACTGGGTCCCTCCAGTCCCAAGCAAATATCTGATCACAGAAGCTTGTTCCTTCCTTTCTAAAGAGAATGATGGAAAGTATTTGGAGTTGCTGCTCGTAACCTGTTGTCACTTCCTTCTAACCAGGTATTTGCCACCAGAATGTTTTGTGGTTGGGAAAGAACCTCCAAAGATTTCAAATAAAGTTGATGTCTGGTCAGTGGGAGTCATCTTCTATCAGTGTCTCTATGGCAGAAAGGTAAGAAGGCTTCATTCTTAGTGATGATTCCCAAACCTTTTGGGAGGCAGCCCTGGCTTCTGCTTCCTTCTCCTCCTCAGGCTTAGTTAGAAGGTGCTTCTACCTTGTCCCCTTGCCATCAGTTCCAAGGCAGAGTTCATGTTAATGAAGTGGGGAGAATTTATTAGGCTGTGTTTTGCTCTACATGGCACTTCCTTCAGAAGCAATGTTCTGCAGAACATCTATTTCCACTGGGCCTGTTCCCACTGAGGCCATTATGGGCAGGACGAGTGTATTGTTCAGGACCAGACACCTGAGGTTCTTGGTCTGGCATTGTTTTGTGATTCTTTCAATGCACTAAGTCTTTGTCGAGCCTGATACTGCTTGACAGCAGCAAGTGTTTTAGAAAAAAAGACCCACTGTAGGAGTTTTTAGGATGGCTTTTGGAAGGGAAGAGTCCGGATCAGGAAGAAGTGATTTGTCCTGAGAAGTAATTTGTTCTATGACAACAGAAGAAATAGGTTGGAGCAGGAAAAGGATTCCATCCACTCTTGTTTTTATGAGTGCTTGGTAACCAAGTGTTGTGAAAGCCTGGGCTGACAAACGCACAGTGTTGGTTAGTGTTGTCAGTCAGACAAACAGTGGAACCAGCCCAGCAAAGATTGAAGTGTGTGAATCTCCTTAGAGATAGCTTAGGTAGACGAAGGCCCTCTTGCACGTGCTGAAGCTGACTTACAAGGTCTGGAAGCAGGTAAACATTCCTCCTGTCTGACCTGGAAACACCCCAGACACGTCCCGGCTTGGTCACTTCTGTTCAGTTTAAGCGTGGGAGCAATGTGTCCTACTCATCTGGTTGGAATCTGCAGCACCTTCACAGCATTCGTGGGCTTCTTGCCTGGAAAAATGCTGATGTCAAGTGGTGATAGACAGTAGCGTTATAGGTTGTTTAAGGCTTGTCATCAACCTTTAACAACTGTTTTCCATTTTTTTTTGTAGCCCTTTGGTCACAACCAGTCACAGCAAGATATTCTGCAGGAGAACACAATTCTGAAAGCTACTGAGGTGCAGTTCCCTCCAAAGCCAGTAGTCACGCCAGAAGCAAAGGTAAATCTTGCAGCGAGTTTGGTCGCACTGTGTATGTCAGTCAGCGATCGGCACTGACAATTACTTCCTCTTGGTTTCCCTAAAACCAGCAAGGAGTTCTGCATTTAATGCTTGCCTCTGCAGAGGGGACAGTGGCTTTGCATTGTTGTAGTTGTCAGGCTGAGGATTGAACAGAATGCAGGGTGTGCCGCTGCCTGTGCTATCTCCTGATAAAAGATGAGCTTCTGGTGTAGGAGCTGGGCTGTCTCTAGTCACTGGGGAAGGAATTTCAGTGCTGAGGTTGTCAGATTGGCCCTGCTCCCAAAGAGTTAATCTGTCAAAGAAAGCTTCCTGTTTCTGTCCATCTACTAATTCTTCTTTTGCTTTTGGGGTATCTGCAGGCATTTATCAGACGTTGTTTGGCCTACCGAAAGGAGGATCGGATAGATGTCCAGCAGCTGGCCTGTGACCCATACTTGCTGCCTCACATCCGCAAATCTGTATCCACAAGCAGCCCAGCTGGAGCTGCGATTGCATCAACCTCTGGATCATCCAATAACAGCTCTTCAAACTGAGACAGACTAATAGGCCAAAAACTGCTTGAGAAACCGGCAAAAAGACTCTGAAACAGCTTTGGAATAGAGGAATCCGCAAGGGTCTCAAGAAACCTGTACCAGGTGCTTTTTTTCTCTTGCTTTTTTCCATCCATAGAGCATGACAACATCAACTCTCATCAAGAAAACCTTCGGCATCTAGGCCAAGCCATGTGGATAGGAGATGGCTTGAGGTTTATCCAGTAAGTGACCACAAAAAGGTGGCTGCTCTGAGCAAGGAGGGGAAACTCAAGAAAATACGAAAAGACATGGTTCCATGTACTGTGAACTTCTGAACATGCAGCCTTGGGGAATCCAGGACGCCGTGTGTGCTTCATATGAAGAATGTGGACTTTGGAAAAAGACTGGGCTAGTCCAGTGTTGATATTTAAACATTGTTCTTTTTCTTTTAATAAAGTTTAGGTAACATCTCCTGAAAAGCTCGAAGCACCAAGGTTCAGCTGGGGATGGTATATGACTCTTTGCCCTTTGGAGGGGAAAAAAGTTGATCCTGCCTGTTCATGGCACTAGAGTTAGTGTTTTACCCCTAATTAATTTCAGTTTTTTAAAAATAACAATTTTTTTGAAGAAAACAGTTTTCTGGTCTCAAAGTGAAACCCGTATTAGCAGGTTCATGGCAGTGTCCATTCTGCAGATGGTGCAGCTTTCTGCTCCCTTGGGGTGGCCTCTTACGAACAATTCACCTTCTCAGGAGGGCGGTGAAGCCCCTAGGAGAACAGGTCTGTGTAGATCTCCTGTGATCAGAGTGGATCACAGCTCAGACTGCCACAAGGTTTTCAGCTGCTGCTTCATAGCTCTCACAACGGTTGCACCTTTTTAATTTATTTGAAGTGCTGTTCTTTTTGAAAACACACCCTGGCATGTTCACAATGTGCTCTCTGCTCTCATGAGTGTGATATCCCTTGACTGTTGAAAAGGCAGGCAGTGAACGGGAAAGAATCGGAGCACAGCTCAGTTGATCACAGCTGTAGTCTGTGCTCATGCAGTACTGTACATATCTTGTTCATGTTATAAAAATCCAAAGCTGAAGACTTGTCTGCTCTTCTCAGTTAGGTGACTTGGCAGCAAAGCTTTCTCTCCCCCTTAACACTTTCCTTTTAAAACTTGCTGACTTTCCTAACTTGCTGCCATCGCTGCATCCAATTTCAAATGAGAGGGAATGAGATAATGCTCTAGAAGGGAGCAAACACCCTAATTATTATTTTTGTCTCACTTCTGTAATCTGCCTGGAGGGGTCTTAGACCTTCAGCTAGAGTCTGCCTGCTGTGAAACGCAAGCCTCTTGTCCCCACTCTGCACCCTTTTCCCCCACATTGAAGGAAAACTGAAAACACACACAAAAAGCACAGCACTTGAACATGTGGCAGCCAGGTTGGAGTGCTCCTAACATGTGGCAGGAGTTCCTAGCCAGAAATATTTAAAGATGCAGTGTTCAAGAGCAAGGTTGGTCTTGGGAGGGAGCTGAGCAGTGCATTACTGCAATTCAGGGTGGTGTTTAAAAAACAAATTACCCTGTGCACACTTCCTAACCCGTGGTGTGGACTGTCCTCTGTGCGGCACTTCCAGGTTTGTACCTGCAGCTCCGGCAGCACGTGGGCTCTTTGGGGCGCCCAGTACCCAAATGGCATTCTCGTGGCAAGTGATGTTCTCCGTCACGCACTTTCAGAGAGAACTGTCACTTGTCTGCCTTATTGTAAGCTGTTGTCTGTCATTATTATGCTTAAACCTGATCAGGAACTTTTAGTTAACTGAAAAATGGAAGAGTCTGAAATTAAGCAGTGGACCTGGGAAGTGGAGAACTCTGCTGCTTTGATTTTTATTACTATTTTTGTAGTGACTCTTGGACTTTTAATTGGATGTATTTACCTGCAGCTGCATTAAGGTGGTCTCTAAACTGTAGTGTTTTAAACAAAGAAAAGAAATACTGCATCTTTAAATCCTCAGCCATAATTTCTTAGCCCTTTCCATCCCTGCTGCTGTACTCCAGAAGTTAACTGTTGAGCAAGCAGTGCTTTGACATGTCTAGTCAGCCTCTGTCAGGTGAAATCAGGGTTGATGCTTCATCCCCTTTGCTGAAACTGATGATTTGATGTCTGTCCACATCGGGGAGAATTCTAAAAGGGTTTTTTCTACCCTGGCCCCGTTGTTTCTTGGACATACAGTGTGTGCTATCTCTGTGGGTGTGATTAGTTTTGTGTCAGATGCATTTACTCCTGCTGTGCAACACCCATCCAGGGGCCTGGGGACAACGTTGGCCTTTCCTGGGGCTGACAGCAGTGAAGAACCCTGGTAGAATTCTGGCTGCGACACCTCCTTGTTAATATGGGTTTCACTTCCAATAACAGACCCTATTGCCACACTGTTCATTTACTTAAAAGTGTATGAAGAATTTGTAACTTAAACCAGGCCAGACTGTTTTGGCTCTACCCAACAGATGAAACATGGATATTAAAATAAGTTTTAAGAAACTGATTTGCTTGGCTCTTACTGTTTTGCTCTTCATAGCATCGGCACGAGCTCTCTTACAGTGCCTGCGCAGAGGTGACATGGGACCACCTGAGGAAGGATGGAGGAAGGTTGCATGCAACAGCTCAGAGCAGTGAGATCTCTGCATCGGAGCGGGGAATCGCTTCCTGCACAGACTAATGCTGAAAATTATTGAGTCTCGTGTAATTACTGGCGTTGATCTTGTGCTGGAATATTGAGACAGACATCTGAGGTAGGTTTGTCCCTTATTTACAATAAAGTAGCAGCTGCCTTAAGAAGCTGTATATGTTCAGGACACAAAAAATGCCTTTTTTTGTGTCCATTGATGAAAATTTGTGTTGAACTTCCCTGCCTGGGCTGGTTGTGCCGCTGCCTGCTGGCCGCTCCCCAGCCCACGGGCACCCAAGGCTCTGGTCTCAGTCACCCAGAATAACTGTGTTGAGCAGTAACGAGAAACTCAGCTCCTTTAATTTCTTACAGCCAAGTCTTGCCAGCTTTAAAAAAAATACACAATAGAAAATGAAAAAGGACCTTGGCAGCTGAAGAGATGTCGAGAGTGCTTATATCCAGACTAATAACCGGGGAGCGCCAGTTCACACGCCCAGCTCCTCTGCAGGTGTGTCGCAACCTCTGTGCGGGGCATCCCCACCATGAAGCAGGCAGTACTTGCCCACCAGAGCCTGGTTCCTCCGAAGGAAGAGTCGCTGGCGATCAGGATTTTGCTGCCAGCCTGACGTCACCCTTGCTGCACTTGAAGTTAAAGCCTGCTTTCGGCTGAGCGTGAGTGAAACCGAACACCGAGCGCAGCTCGGCTCCCTCCCTGCTGCTGCAATTGATTATTTTTCACCCCCCTGTGCCAGTTTTGATGATGCGACACAGATTTCGGCCGGGGGAGGCGGCGGCGGCGGCGTTTCAGCAGCGAATGCGCAAGCGGTGGCGGCAGCAGTCAGGCCGCCGGGCCAGGTACCCAC